CCTTGAGCAGCCCCCCATCACTGCTTGGTCAGCGCTGGCCCCTCTGCTGCTGCTGGAGCAGAGCCTCACAGTGGGCGGCCACATAGGGATTGGCTTCGATCCACCCCTGGTCCCACCCTGGTTCAGGACCTGTTAGGTCTTGAGGGAAGGTACACCCTGTGTTCATTTTATAACTGTCTTCTGGAATACGCAGCCCAGGCATTCTCAATTTAATGAGGGAAGCTGTAAGCGGAGCCGTTTTTACAGTAGCAGTCTTATCTAATTAAAATTGATTTCAGGAATAAAGTTAAACAGATCCTTAGCAGTGCTTGCATAACATTGGATTTTGGGAACTGGTGTGTGGTTTGGTGGTGGCGTGTTCTTGCAGAGCTGTGTTGTGCCTGAAATATTTTTCTGTGATTAATGTGTTTGAGGGTGTGTTTTTTGGTGGTGCAAATTTTTTCCTTCATGATGGTGTTCCTTCATCTGTTCTCTGCTCTTGTCTCTTTGTTTTCTGTTTTCTCCTTTCCACAGGTTGATAAAACAGGAAGGTGGGGGGAGCAGGAGACAGGTGGTCATTTTTTAAAAGAAATGCTAGAACTGTTTAAGCTGTGTTTAAAAATACATTAGCACCTAGCATAGATGGGTTTTATCGGCTTCCCCAGGCAAGTCTTGTTCCCCTCCTTCCTTTTAGGGTATTAGGTTGGCTCCAGATAGCTTTGCATTTCCACTGGCTCCCTTTTGTCCATGGGCTGATCCGTCACTTCTTCATTTAATACCTAGCTTAATATGCATTGTTGTAATTTACATTTGTTTTGACTTCACAAATAATAAGGAAGAATTTAGTTCAGCCCTAAAGTTCTCCAGTCTTAAGACCCTCTTTCACAGCTCAGCTCTATGACATATAAAGGAGGGTCTATCTACTGCAGGGGTGGCCAAAGGGGCTGGCCTAGAGAAAGGTAAATCAGGTAGGACAAGTGATTAGCCGGTGTTCCTCGTAATGTAAGATCAGCAATGTGACACACGTGCCCCTCCACACACACACACACACACAATTTTGTCTCATAAGGTTTCTTACCGTGCCTCTGGAAACCCATTATTTAGGAAAACAAGATAATTCAAAGTTATTAACAGTGAATCCTTCTGCAAGGAAGTAATACACCAGTGCTAGCATTCAAATTAATCTCTTCTATTGTAACTCTCTTGTGGGGAGCTGCTAAGAGGGATAACACCTTGTAGAGAGCTAGAAGGTGAGCTGGAACATAAGTTAATTGTGCCTCAAATCAACAAGAGAATCCTTTCTAGTGGTGATAGATAACCAAACCAATTTATTATTATTAGAGGGAAGCTTGTGAAAAGGGAAGTGACTCGCATGTGGTTTTCTTATGACAAACCATAGCTCTTTATAAATGGACAAACATAAGTGATCTTGCTAGCTCCTGTGAAATTCTGCATTTAGAGGAGACCTTTTATTCAACTACTTCAAGAAGCTATTTGAAGAGTCCTCGCTTAAAAAATTTTTAAGCCCACCAAGTCTGCCTAGAGAGTGGCTTGAATCTGGCAAGTAAATGACATTTTAAGATTAAAAATGTTTGAGTGTGTTATGCCCCACAGATTGGACTGTTGTAATCCAGACTTCTGTCGCCCGGCAACGTCTGTAGTTCGGCATCCCGGTGGCTGCTCCCAGGCTGGAGCATTCCTGGGAAAAGCTGGGGGCCCTGTGCTCAGTAACTCCTCCCCCGCCCTCCCAGAGTGCTGCAAATAGCTCATTTATGGTGTTTAAGCTCAGTGGGGGGGAGGGAAGGGAGGGAGAGTGCTGGGGAGAAGAGATCCAGTGGCTGGAGAACTCTGTGGGTGGATAAAGTTCTCCAGTCTTAAGACCCTCTTTCACAGCTCAGCTCTATGACATATAAAGGAGGGTCTATCTACTGCAGGGGTGGCCAAAGGGTGCCCTGCTGCTCCCCCACCCCCAGGCCAATCAGGGCCTGGGGATGGGGAAGCGCACAAAGTCTCCTTGCCTTACAAGAGCACGTGGTAGGTAGAGACACAAGCCGGCTGTTTGAAAACAGCTGTCATTTATCTCTAGCTGCTGTGTGCCTTTGGTGGGGGGTCACTTCGCATGTTCCTCACCCCCAGGCCAATCAAGAGCTTGGGGGTAGGGAGCACACAAAGATTCGCATCCCATATGCGCCCTGCTAGGGACGTGCAGCAGCTAGAGAGAGACGCTGGCTGTTTTAAAACTGCCGGTGTGTGTGTCTAGCCACCATGTGCTCTTGCAGGGCGAGGAGACTTCATGTGCTTCCCCACGCCAGGCACTGATTGGCCTCTTGCAAGGTACCTAGAGGGAACCAACAGCTGTTTTAAAACAGCAAAAGCTGGCGTTTCTCTCCAGGGGGTGGAGCAGGAGTGGGAGGGGGCAGACTTTTCATGCTCACCCACCCCAGGCCAGTCAGGGTGGGGAAAAGTACAAGAAGTCTCCTGACCCTACCTCTTCCACCGAAGGCCCTGCCCCTTCCAGTGCAGCCCAGGGTCACTTCAGAAATTTTTGAAGCGGCCCCCTTTTTAAAATTATTGCCCACCCCTGGCCTACTGCATTGCATGATTTTTATATTCAACTATCAGCATTACTGTCTGGGGAGTAATTTCTTTATTTTGCTAACATTGCAGTAAGGTAGTTGCCAAGAGATCCAAATACTGAATTGCTTCTTCCTTCTATTTTCTTTTAGCCAGGAGATTTGTTATACTTTCCAAGAGGAACAATCCACCAAGCTGACACTCCTGCCAGGAGATCACATTCTACTCATGTGACCATCAGCACCTACCAAAACAAGTAATTGTGCTTTACCATTTTCAGAGTGTAGCTTCCTCAGACACAGTTTGGATAAATGCTAAAGGTGACCTAAAATACGTGTGTTTTGGGGAAAGCAGTGCTATCTGTTGGTTAGTGCAAGGTCTAGAAGATTGGACTCTTGGGTTCTGTTCGTGATTCAGCCACTGAACTTGCTGTGTGACCATGGGCAAATAGCCTAGCCTTTGTGCCTCAGTTTCCCCAT